CTTTGTTCTGCACTTTTGTTCTTTGGGAGGACGTTAGTGGGAATCCCTATGGAGGGAATTGTGATTTCCACTAGCCGCTGGATGGGTCCGAGCTCGTGGCGTGAAGTCCCTTGGTGAAGGGCATCTTATCACCCGTCATTCTTCGGAAGAGTCTAAGGCTCGCGATTCTCTCTCTTTTTTTCTTTGTTTTGTTTTTTCTTATTTTCCTAAACCACCACCTCCTCAAGCCCTCCACCAAAGAGCCGATCCTCTCACCCCCATCACCTCCACACCATCGGCCTACACCAACCCCTCCCTTCCTCCTCCCTCCCCTTGGCCAAAATCCACAATGGCTCCACCCACCCGCCAACCACCTCCTTTCCTAGCCCCACTTCCCTCGAAAAAAAAAAACCCATCTTTCCTTATTTAAGTTGTTATTAATTTGGAAAGATTTTAAATTCAAATTAATATAATTTGAATTTCAAATCCATCCTCATTAATTAACTTATGTTTTGAAACCTCTTTCATTTAATTAATTAATCAATTCTGAAATTGATTGATTAATTAATCCCTAGTCAAAATACATTGAACCTAGACACCCCTTGTCCCCCCTCTCTCTTTTGGCCGGCCCCATACTCATACCCTCTTTAAATTTCTTTCCAAAATTAGATTAATGATTATCTTGAAAAAGTTTTGAATTCAAATCCACCACAATTTGAAATTCAAATAATTTCCTAAATTAATTGATCTATTTTAGGAAAGTCTTTATATCAATTTCAATTCAATTCCAAATTGGATTTGAATAAAATTCTCTCCCTCAATTTAAGACTATTGAATAGGCAAGCTTTAATTACACCCCTCCTTCAATTAATTTGAAATTTAAAAGTTTACATGACACCCCCCCCCTCCCATTCTACATCAGTTTGATATCAGAGCATGGTTGCCCGAGATGCGAACTCAACGAAGTCGAGCTCTTTTCCACCCCGAGAGAATGATGCGGACATCTGACGATGGATGATATTCAAAGGAAGAGTCGACGATTGACGGCCGAGATCACTCCATTTTATTTTAGTTTATTAGTTGTATTTTGATTCAATTTGACATTTTTTCCTTTTTTATCCTTTTTATTTAAGAGTCTTGTCTTATGTAAGCCCAAGGGACAAATTTAACTTTTAGTTTCTTTTGAAGCATATATATAGAAGCTCATTCTCTTGTATTAGGTATGATGGAATTATAATAAAAATTTATGTTCTGCACTTGTGTTCTTTTGGGAGGACGTTAGTGAGATTCTTACGAGACGGAATCAAAGTTTTCACCAGCCGCATGATGGGTCCAGGCTCGTGACTTGAAATCCCTTGGAGTAGGGCAACGTATCACCTGTTAGTCTTCGGAAGAGTCCAAGGCTCGCAGTTTTTTCTTCTTCTTTTTTATTATTCTCCTTATTTTCCTAACCGCCACTTTACCATCTCTCTCTCCTATTGGCCGAAAACTCCACCCAAACCCTAGGCCAAAAGACACTGAACCGCCGGCCCAATCCCCTTCCCAAAGTCACCAGCCATCATCCATCCATTGGCTCCAAGATTCAAAATCTAGCATTCAAATCTTTTCCTAAATTAGCTCCCTTTAATTTTGGAAATTATTTAAATTCATATTCAATTGAATTTGAATTTTTTATGTAGAACGGGTAGGAGGCTCTGCTAGGGAGAGGATCCTTTGCAGGAATTTTCAGAGCAACAGCAGTTTTGAAGCGCCAAGTTGCTGGGAAACAATAAACGTTGCTGGAATTCTATGGCTGCAGTCTTAGAAGGCAGAATACTCAATGTCCAAAGGAGTTTGGTAAGAGATCTGTGGAGGGGAGTAAAGTATACGGGTCAGGGAAAGTTTTGGCCAGCAGGAAATTATGGTGGAGATTAATTCCCAAAGTAACGGGAGGCGTTTTGGAAAGATCTAAGAGGTGGGAAAGATTTTAGAGGAATTCCAGCAATGGGCCAGGCCGTATGTGGTGTTAGGAGGATTATGAATTTATTTCCTAATCCTGAAATCAGGTTTTAGGAAATAAATTGGCTAGGAGCTCATGTAAATTCTGGTTCCTGAAATTGGGAAATCTTTCCAAAGATAAAGGGTAGGGAGTTAATTCCTGATGTTAATCGCCTTAGATTAGGGAATTAATTAGTAGAGCAAGGCAAGGGAATTAATAAGGAAGGAAATCAAGAGGTGGGGCATGAGGGGGGTGATGTGAAACGTACATGCGATGGAGTTACTTTAGGAAATTATAGAGAGCAATTTGAACAAAGTAATCCAAATTAAAATTATCATTTGTAATAAAAGAGTGATCCCAAGCAAGAACCAAGGAGCAATTAATGTGGGGATTTAAGGCTCATTGATTTGAATTTAAAAATTTTCAAAATCTGAATTTAATTTCAGTTTTGATTGAAATTGGGGGGAGCTTAATTTGAAAATTGATTTCAAATTAAGAGGCCATCAATGCTTTAATTGGGGCATTAATGGGAGAAAACTCACATGGTGACCGGCGGCATGCAGAGAGAGAGGGAGGGGATTTGGGCAATGTTTGGGGAGCTTCCAAAGAAGAAAAATGTATTATGAAGGTTATGACTAGATCCAAACTTCTTTGAATTTAAATTTGAATCATGCATAACACTTTCCTAAATAAGAATTTCCAAATTTGGAAAGAATTGAAATTCAAAATTTGAATTTCAAATTTGAATCAATCCTTTCTAATTTCTCGTAGGGTGAATTATGGAAATCCATGAAGATATTGAGATTACCGTCATGAGGGGAAAAGATGGGGTTTCGGGTGAGGCTAGAAATCCGGCGGCCAAACGGAGATGGGGGGAGGAAGAAGATGAAGATAACGACGAAGAGTAATAAGAAGGAACAAAAGCAAATAAACAAAATATCAAAGATACAACCGTGAGCCCGGACACATCCTGCGGCTGACGGGTACTACGTTGCCCTTCTCCAAGGGACTTCACGCCACGAGTCTGAACCCATCCTGCGGCTGGTGGAAACTCCGACTCCCTCCCAAAGGGATTTCACTAACGTTCTTCCCAAAGAACTCAAGTGCAAAACGCAAATTTTTTTTATTAATAATCCATCATCCAAATACAAGAGAAGGGACCTCTATATATAGGCCTCAAGAGAAATTAAAAGACACATTCGCCCCTTGGGCTTACATAAGACAAGAAGGTAAAAAGGGAAATTGCAAAACTAAATTAAAATACACTTAATAAACGAAAATAAAATAAAGTGATCTCGGTCATCGATCTTCAGCTCCTCCTCGGATTAGCATGGACGGTTGGATGTCCGCATCAATTTTACTTCCTAAATAAGGAAAACTATTTTAGGGAAGTCCTTCAAATCATGCAATTTTGAATTTTACATAGGAGTTGATTTAAATCCACATTTCTATTTTAAGATTCTAAATATAGCCACCTTTAACCCCTCATATCAATCACCCATAATCATGCTAGCCGTCGGCCCTATCCCCCTTCCTATTTCCTCTTTCCCTCAACTTTTCAAATTGATTATTGAAGGCATTCATTATTAGATGCATCTTAAGTTTGGAAAGTTTTTAAATTCAAATTTAAATTAATTTGAATTTGAAATTCTTTATTAAAATAGGATGAATTATATTAGGAGGCTTTCCTTAATTCTCCCAATTTGAATTTAATTAAAGACCTATCATAACTCCACTTTCCTTATCTTAGTAATTCAAGTTTGGAAATTTCTTAAGTCCACATGCATCGTATGTGGACACATTCATTGTATGTGGACACATTCAACGTATGTGGACGCCTTCCCTTTTTCCCCTCTTTTGGCCGAACCCCCTCCGTTCTACATCATAATACTTATAACCTCTCTACGTGGATGAATATCCAACAAATATACACTTGAATGCTCTTAAATTTAATTTTCCACTATTTTGACTATGAATGTGAACAAAGACAGTGCACCCAAAGATTTTAGGTGTGAGGTTATTATGGGTTTAAATTTCTGGATAAAAAGATGGCAGGATATCCATTGGTACTTTTAGTCTTAAGGTTTTTGAAGGTGGTCGGTTTATGAGATATGCAGTCAGAAGGGCTTCTCCCTAGTAAGATTTGGATATATTGTGGTAGAATAGAAGTGCATAGGCAATGCTAAGAAGGTGGCCATTTTTTCTTTCTATAATTTCGTTTTGTTGTGGGGTGTGAATCCAAGAAGCTCATGAATGATACTTTCTTTTTAAAAGGATGATAGAATTTGATTAAAGTAATCTTTGGTATTGCTGGAACAAAATTTCTTTATTTTTACCCCGAATTGGTTATGGATCATGGTGTGAAAAATGGAGATGATAGTGGTAAGATCGGATTTGTTTTTTAAGAGAAAGATCCAAGAGACTTGAGTTCAGTCGTCAATGAAGAATACAAACCATCAGACCCCTGAAATATTAGTAATTTTTTAAGGTCCCCCGATATCACTATGAATAAGGTAGAAGGGAGTATGGCATCTCTCATTTTTGTTTGAGAAAGAAACTCATTTATGTTGACCAACTCACAAGTTTCACAATGAAAAAAAATCATTTTTCAACTTATAAAAAAATTATGGATGCATATTTTTTACGACATCAAAAGATGGATGTCCTAATCTAAAATAATGAAGACAAATAGTTGATTTTGTATTAGATAGGGAAAACATATTGTTAAAGGTTCTACTTGTTGAACAATTGTTGAATGAAATTGCTTTAAATCATTAGTATGTCAACAAAGAGGGCATAAAGAAGAATATCTATGGGGATATACCCATTTTTTATTTTTATTCACATAATTAAAACTAAGAACTGAATCAAACCATTGGTATTGCAAGCCCACTCCCAAGACTGCCCAAATACGAACATAAACCAGTAGGGCTCCAACCATCAGCATCGAAAGTTTCAATGACCAATTTGCAAGGCCAATGCAAAAATCTAGGATGCCATCATAATAGTAATGCTTGATGCATCTTCAAGGGAGCATACTTACTTGAGGATAAATATCACAGCTTCCCAACTCTTTCACAGCCAAGGGCAATCTTTCACCGTCATTTATCTGAGAGGTTCAAGTAATCTTCATATCTCCACAATAACATAAAAAAGAGTATGATTGACTAAAATAATACCTCAATGTCTGATCCGACTGTCTTGATATTCACTGTTTGAATCTCATTATGCTTTGCCCATATAATTTTTCCACTATTGTCCATGCTGGCAGCTGGCACTTCGCGCCCAAGCTTTATCATTATAGTTCCTTCATCATATCCAATTACAACCCTATAGAAGAGTTGGACCGAAAATAAACATAGAGAGATGCATATGAATACTCGAATAAGCCATCAATGGAGAAAGCTTAGATTATTAAGTCTCAACAACAAAGCAAGCTGACAAAATATTTTACACATAAATCCACCAAAATTTAGTAATGAATAGACTAATATTAATAACTCAAAGTTCTCCCCAAATTCAGGAGTAAAATATTGCATCATCATCATTATTAATTTATGCTAAATTGTAATTAGGAATAAAATAATTGTGTTAAATTGTCATATGAAAGTATGGTTGAAAATCTTTGCTTACCTTCTTGAGCCTTTCATGCATCCTAAAGCCCAAACTCGCTCGAGACCATAATTTAGCGTATTCTCAAGCCTATAAAGCCAAAAAAAATAAAATTATTTTAATATAAAGCTGCTTCAAGCTAAGTTGATATGCTCTTTCATGTTAGCTCTTCATGCTCTTATCGATGTAGCACAAATAAAAATGAATTGAAAATATATCAAATTGGCCCGATAATAAATAAAGTTTGCAACAACAAAAAGGCAAAAAATAAGCATTATATGATATTTCATATATAGTAAGCTTGAAATTATGATAGAGGTGTCAATTCACAGAATAAGCATAATACTACAAATGCATCAATACCCTAACAAACAAGATGCTCAAAGTTTAATGCAATCCTAAACTAGCTTGGGTACACCTTTTACATGTGACATCAAATTCATAAGGGGAAGGAAAGCGAGAGATTAGAAATTCAACAATTAAAATAAATAGATTGAATTGGAAGATAAAGTCAGTAAATGATTAAAAATACAACTGCAATTATAATTGCTGCAAATCGATAAAGTTGTAATAAAATAAAAAAGCATCCTCCAAACAAGACTTAGTTTTAAAGTCTAGCAATCATAAATAAACATGCATATGAATAAGAAGAAAGCTTCATATAAAGAGATTTAGAGTATCAAAATTATAATATCAATTAAATGGATAGCATGGCAAGGCAGCTTCAACAAGCATGGATAAGTTTGAAAAAACTATTGCTAATAAAACTTTAACCATCTTACCAAATCATTAAATAATATAGCATAATTAACTAATATGTTGAGCTTTACCTATAAGTGGTAGCATGCCATATCCGAAGAGTTCCATCCTCAGATCCAGTTATTATTATTGGAAGCTCGGGATGGAAACTGACGGCCGATACATTGTGCGTATGACCTTCTAGAGTTTGGACGCAACTCTTAGTTTGATAATCCCATACCTATTCCCAAAATTCATTATCAAAAACTCAAGGGAGAAAATGAAAATAGCTTGAAAGTCATGAATCAAGGCAACCTTTGCAGTGTGATCATCAGAACCAGTGATTAAATATGGCTTATCACCGCCGGTAAAGTAATCAACACAATTCACTCCCTTCAAATGAGCATCCAAAGTAAAATTTGGATCTGGCGAACCAAGGTTCCAAATCTAAAAGAATAATGGGAGAAGGGGAGGGATGACAGTAATAAGTTCCATAGAAATATATATATATATATATATATCAAAACGAATGGTAATTAAATTTAGCATATAAGAAACCTTTATTGTGCGATCAAGGGAAGCACTTGCAAAAGTATTAGTATCCTTCGGATTAAAAGTTACTTGCATAACATAGTGGGAGTGTCCTTCAAAAATCTGAGTACATGTCCATCCTTTATCCCAATCCCAAAGCTTGATCAACATGTCATCTGATGATGACAGCAGATAAGGCAATGTTGGATGGACAGCCACACACCTAATATAATCTGTGTGCGCCTCAAACACTTTAGCCTTGTCCATTGTGTTGTAGTTGTACACACGAATGAGCATATCATCTGCTCCGGACACAACCCACTGCTTGCGTGCTATGAACTTTGCTGATCGCACTGAAAAATGAAAGGATAATCTAAGTATAAGTGTTGGAATACCAAAAGGAAGCCTACCATGTGAAATATGTACATACCTGGCAATTCAGATACTTCAAAAGATTTCACCATTGTCTGAAACAACATTGATCGGAACCACAATTAATCCGTCAAAGAAAATGTAGCAGGTAAATTGAAGTACTAAATGCAGCAACTAAGCATATCTGAATTGCATGCACACAATTCAAAAACTAGCAAATACTACTGTAATTGGTGTTGAAGAACTCCTTCCCAAATACACGAAGGCAGGCAATCAAAAGAATAAAAAATGGGGGAAAAAATCTAACAATTATTACGTACCTGTGACTGATAATTCCAAATGCACACACTTCCAGAGTAAAGACTTGCAAGAATCCTGTAGGAGACATATCAGGGATAAGAAAATTTAACAAAAGCTTCACGAATAAAATCCTCATATGTTGCTAAGTTGTATCCCGACAGAATTTGCTAGTAAGTAAAGTAAACAAATTATCGGAATAATTTATCTTACCATGGCTCTGTAGGATGCAAGTCCACCGATTTCACTCTTTCAGACCTCTGCGCAAGTTTCCTCTGTTCCGGCACAAACCATCAAGAGCAACCAATTTTGCATTACTAAAATTAATTTCAAAAAAACTAAAATATTCATCAGGATGGAAATAAAGAATACCTTGATTTCCAATCGGAGAGGCTGCAACCATCGCAATAAACGCGTAATTAAAAAACAAAACAATAACAAAAGGTAGTTAGTCCACAGCATTAACACAAACCTCATCAAACTATAACCTAAAACGACATAATGCAATGGTTGCCTTCTATCATTAAGAGGGCAGGACTGATAAAACACAGAATAGATCGTGTACCGAGTGGTTTTCCTTAAACCCAAATCGTCCATATACAAACTTTCTATCAAGAATAACAGGTTAAACGAAAGAAGTTCGAAATGACGAACCATATTTCCCGGTTGCAGATCGTGATGGCGGCGGCGTAGAGTAAAGAAACGGATAGATCCACAGGTTCGAGAATCAGAATTAGGGTTTTGAAAATGGAGGCGGAGTAGAGAATGTGATCCGCTGAATCTCTCCTTCGGTACAGAACGATTGAAGGAGCGAAAAAAGAATAGCTAGGATGCTGGGGAGCAACCAAATGAAAACCAAGCGGAGCAGCGCCTGGACGGCGAGAACCAGGACCTGGCATCCTTAGAAGAGCGCTATGGTCGGGTCGGGTCGGGTCGGGTCGATCTTCTCGTGGACATCACTCCATTTTGCCGAAATTGACCCGACCCGGTACTTTTTTTCTAAAGTTAATATATATAAGTTACATAATTTTTAAATTTTATTTTTTAAAATAACTTTACATCACATAAATTTTTAAAAACAGAAAAAAAAATACAATAATAAAAAAATATATGCGATAATAATTTCAAAAATAAAGCAATCAATAAATTATTTTAAATAAATCTGAAGTTAAAGTTTTGATCTCCAAATTCTCAATTCATTCAATAAACTAAAATAAAAAATATATTGGGACTTTTTTTTTTTGTACTGCTCGGATATATTCCATGACTTAAATTTTTATTTTATTTTGATATTTAATAATATTAACTAATTCTATATAATCGTAATTAATTAACTATGTTAAAATTATTATAAAATACTGTTTTAGTTATTTGTTGATTAAAAATTTAATAAGGTGATTGAAAAACAATTTCTATTTTGTCAAATAGAATTAAAATAATATCAATTATGAGAATGTCTATTTAATCAAATTAAATCACCAAATTCACAAATCCTCCCTTCCTCATAGACTAAAGAAAGGAGAAAACTAGAAACATCTATTGCATTTTCAGTTATCATCGTCGAAGACCACTACTAAATATTGCTGCTGACGAACACCACCATCAACCATTATCATCATATCCAAATTTCAAACAAAATTTAATTCTCCTGTTATATATAATTATTGACTGCGGGCATCATATATCTATAATACCGATAAAGAAAATCAAGTCTTTTTGTTGGGTATTAATTGTACATTTATTGACACTTGATTTATATAATCCCCTTAGGAAAAATCAGACATTTGTGTTTAAATAATACCCTCTTCTTTACTCTGTGAGGAAGGGAGGATTCTTGAATCCCATGCTCTACAGTGGATTTTATTTAACAAAGCTAGGTCTCGTGGCTTTTTCGGTTTTTGAGTTTTTCATATTTTTGTTTTACTACTTTTACATGTGTATGCTGAATTTTTGTGTAACTCTTTGACATAAAATAAAAAATCTATTTACTCATATTTTCTAGCACGCAACACTCCTCCCATATCCCTTGACTAAAAAGATGCAAGGAAGTCGCATTGGAGCTTGATGGCAATATCATTTCTTCAATTACTCCTACCCAAAACCCTCAACGAAAAAGAAGCACAAAAGTCGCAATGGGAACTCGCTAGCGACAATAGCAACAAAGCTCGCGACTGATTCACTTAAATTTTTAAATTTGTTGAACTCCATTATTTAGTAAATCTATATGATTTATATGGGGATAGACATAAAACAACACTTAAGAAAACTTATGATATATTTTGATTTAAGTATTGTGTAAATCTTGCTACCTAATAGTCCTATAGAGTTTTGAGTAAAAGAAATATAAGTTTTTGAGATTTTTTGGTATTTGATCTGAGAAAAAAATAAGTAAAAGTAATTTTATGAGGACTTTGAAATATACCATTAGGTCATTTTTTGGAGTAATTATTACGTCTGGACAAAAAATCATAAATCCAGACGTATACCGACCAATACCGAGTGCTCAATACCGAGTTTCAGGTGACGTGACGCGTGATTATTGGTCTATGGACGGTCAGGTGACCTGACATAATAATTACTCCATTTTTTTGTTTATTCTGAGATCGCCCTATCCTCAACATCGCGACAATCATTTGTTATCTCCGTCCCACCATCTTCCATCATCACCACCCTCACCTATTATGATATAGTTGTCGCTATCACTAAGATTGGTCAATTTTTTATTCATTTTCACTTCTAAGCAAAAATAGTAAAAATAATCTCCTCAATTTATTTTGCAATCAACAAAATATTTATGAGTGATATGTTATTAGAAATTCTATATGATAGAGATAGAATCTTGATGAAATATTTGAATAAAAATTTTCAAAACTAAATTCAAGACTGTCGAAACTCCATTTACAGCAGAAAAAATTAAAACAAATATTTTGATGAGATAATTGAGGGACAACAAAGATGATTTGATTTGATTCCAAATGAACTTAGATAATGTACTTTATGCATAGTCATAAATTGTATGACATTAGTTAAAGAACCAATCAATCTTCATATTTTATGTTCTTCTAGTCAAAACAAGTGTCTTAATGAAAAGAATCCAACAAGCCCAATATCAACCAATTAAGATAATTCCTCGAAAAATTATTTATGATCAAAGAATCAGCATGAACCATCTGATGGAGTGTTTAATGATTTTATTTTAATTTAGCAAAATATCTTAAGCAAAATCCAAAAATATACATCATTATCCATATGAGGTAGACTAAATTTTGGAGAGAGCTTAAATACTTGAAGAAATTTAGATCCATATTGGACACTTGACACCAAAGATCATCACTTGTGACCACTATTGCTAGGACGTCGTCTTCCTACCATTGTTGGGTGATTGTCGTCGACCAGCCACTATCACTTAAAACATTATAGGTCTTCCATTATCTTTTGACCGCCATCGCTCAATATTCATAGCTATATATCATTGATTAATCGTCATTATTCAATTGTCGTCGCCAATTATCGTTGCCAAACCACCATCATTTGATATAATATTTATTTCATCTATATCCAAGTGGGGGTGATTCCTTGGTTAAGGCGTTTATCCAATAGATTTTTGCATATTCAATTAATTTTATTTTGGCAAAATTAGCTTCTTAGTTGTCATCTATCTTATACCAGCAAAAAAAAGGTCATCTATATGGATTAACCAGTTTAAGAACCTATTAGGGTCATGAATGTCATCATAGATGGGAGCTTTAACTTTGACTCTTTTGAAGGGATCACTGAAGTCATCAACATTCCAATTAAGATGGTCTCTTCTACCTATATTCCTAACATTGGGTCATCTCCAATTAGATAGGTCTTCACCTTAGTGTATGAAAGAAGCATAATATTTTAGAAGTGCATTAAGATTTTAAGGAGGACATGGGATATAATTTCTATTATTTTGTAAATGAATCAAGACACCTTGCATTTGATTTTTATGTTATTGCATCTGAGTTTTATTCTCCTCAAATAATTATTTAGTCTTAATTTATTTTTTTTTCATGAATCTAAATGATTAAGGAATCAATCATTAGAGTTAGTTTTTTAATTTGATCTTAGGAAATTTATTTGGGTGTCATAAGATGATTTTTTTATCGACCGTCCTGGACGGTTCCCAGAACTATTCTCAGGCCGATATTTTCTACAGTGTCGATCGGCCTGGACGATATGTACAGAAAATCACCTGGAGAAAAACTCGGCACATTCTGGAGCAGATTTACAACTGATCGTCCCAGGACGATCCAGATCGTCCTGGACAATCCTGGAGCAGATTTTTGATATTACAGAGAATGAGTCAGGTGTTGATTCCGTATAGGTTGTTTAACCTAAGCAATTGTCCCAAGGCTAACCAAGAGGGGGGGGTGAATTGGTAATTTAAAAAATTCTCTTAGATTTTTAATAGAAAACTGTTTTGACAAATTTCCAAATTTGATTATCTTTTGAAATGAGCTTTTCAACTACAATAACAAAATTGCATAAAATAAAAATGACACAAAGATTTATAGTAGTTCGGTCAAACACGGCCTACATCCACTCACTGAAGACTCGCTCTTCAGGTATTACACTATTACCAAAGTGACTCTCCTTTTGCTCTCACATCAAGGCAGAAAAGCCTTTATAATTCCTATCTTTCATCAATTCCTGGTGTGACAGAGAACCGTCGTCCTTTCACACCCTCCAAGTGTCGGCAAAGAACTATCGTCTAATTACACTCTCCAAGTGTCGACAGAGAAAATTCGTCCTTTCACGCCCTCCAAGTGTCGATAGAGAACCATCATCTGTTCACACTCTCCAAGTGTCAGCAGAGAATCAGATCTTTTTCAAAGATCTTCTCTCGAGCAACTAGAAAGAAGAAAAGGAAGAGTAATAACCAAAAACCAAAAGATATTCTTACATTTAAGTAACCTTGTGAACTCTTCACACTCCACTTCAAGAACTCTCTCTCAAACGCTCTCCCAAACTCACTCTTTCAGTTGCTTTTGAAAAATCATGAAGAACAACACTTTTCACGTTAGTTTTTAAGGATATTTTATATGAAAGATATGAAAACTGTCCAAAAAAATAAAAAATTTTCATTTTGAGCGTGTAAGATTGTATAATAAGATCGATGTTCATCTCGGGCGAACAGTTCAAAACATATTGGTACAATCCTATACGAAATGTTTTCATACACGCAGATCGTACCGTACGATATTCATATCGTACAGTACGAACAGTAAAAAAATTTCTCATTCGTTTGGACGAAAATGCTCCCAACAATTTCGTACTCAGTATGTCATATGTATGAAGTCTCGATCGTCTCGGACAAATAGATAAAAAATTATACATGTTCGTCTAGACGAAAATGTTTCCCACATTTTCGTATTCTAGACGTCGTCTGTACGAAGTCCATATCGTCCCGGTCGAATAGTTGAAAATTTTCGCATGTTCGTCTGGACGAAAAAGTTCCCCACATTTTCGTACTTTGGACGTCGTCTGTACGAAGTTCAGATCGTCCCGGACAAACAATTCAAAAATTTTGCATGTTCATCTGGATGAAAATGTTCCCCACATTTTCGTACTCTAGACGTCGTCTGTACGAAGATAACTTCGTACAGTACGAATAGCACGTAGAAAAAAATCACCAATTTTTTTGATTAACTGCTTTTTGGAGGAAATAAACAAACCAAATCATCCCAAACAAACCAAAATCGTACATTACGATTAATTTAAAAATTGCAGCTTTTAAACACTCTCCCAGTCTGTGTGTGCACAATTACTCAATTATAATCAAACTCTCTCAGACTCAATAAAAAGAAAAATACAGACTTCCAATTACAATAAAACCTAATCCAATCTGATTTGAAGTATTTAATTGTCTGTTGTATGATTTTTTTGAAATGTTAGTACATACAAACAATAAAAACAGTATATCAAAAATATGTTAGAATAAATTATAATTAAAACACTAATATCTGGAATCATAAAAAAACATACATTTTGCAAGAATATCAATAATCGAAAAACCAAGTTTGCAACAATCTCAACATCAGGCACATGAGAAGCCGCGGGAATGGGGTTTGGAGATTGGATGGGTGCCATGATTTGGTTTAGGGATGTCAATTTTTGACACGACCCGAAACCCGACCCGAACTAGACCCGAAAAAATTCGGGTTCGGGTTGACCCAGTAACCCGAAATTGACCCGAAATTGACCTGAAAGTGACACGACCTCTATTCCTAACATTGGGTTATCTCCTATTAGATAGGTCTTCACTTTAATGTATGAAAGAAGCATAATATTTTAATAAGTGCATTATGATTTTAAGGAGGACATGGGATATGATTTCTCTATTATTTTGTAAATGAATCAAGACACCTTGCATTTGATTTTTATGTTATTGCATCTGAGGTTTATTCTCCTCAAATAATTATTTAGTCTTAATTTATTTTTTTCATGAATCTAAATGATTAAGGAATCAATCATTAGAGTTAGTTTTTTAATTTGATCTTAGGAAATTTATTTGGGTTGGTCAAAGATAGATGATTTTTTTGATATGAGAGGGAGAGGGGGGGGAGAGAGAGAGAGAGAGAGAGAGAGAGAGAGAGAGAATTATAAATAAGAAAGAGTGATATATATATATATATATATATATATATATATAACTGACCTGTTTTTTAAATCGGGTCGGATTCGGGTTGACCCGAACAGTGCCGGATCAGTTTCCAGTTCGACCCGAACCCGACCCGCCGACCCGAATTGACACCCCTAATTTGGTTGCAGGAAAAGTAGAGGAGGCAGCTAGGAGGTGCTGCCAACAGACCAGTTCTTGCTTGTGTGCGGAAGAATGGACGGGAGGAGGAGCTCATTCAATCAGTTCTGGGTATGCGCATAACAGAGAAGCGGGAGTACGAGAGATCGTGAGGCATTGTGTACGTAAGAGTTTGAATGCCTGGGGTTTCTGTTTGCATTTTTGTTCTAATGGAAGAGGTAGGGTGTTTTGTGTCGTGAGAAGAGCGGTTGTGAGATCTTATGTGAGTGCGGTCGTGTCCCTTGGGCTGTGATTAGTTAGAGGTCAACAAACATCATGACCATTAAGTTATATACCTAAGAATGTGAGTTACAAAGCTCTATGATCTTTAAAGTTATAGTTGCAACAATAAAATATATTCATCAATTGAACAAATTCATATAAAAAATTTAATGTTTTTTTTTTATATAAATTTAATTTTTTTATTTTATTTACTTAAAATCTTTTAAATTAAATCTTACCTAAATATTTCAAATTATTTGCCAAAATGTGGAGTCACACCCACACATTAAAATCAATAATATTTTAATACTTTAATTGCTTATTAAATATATCATACATTGAAGGAGTAATTGCATGAGATAATTGGTTGTTGAACAGCACAACTCATATGATGTGTCAAAAGGGAATCTGAAAAATATTCTTCTTATTATATCCCAATCAAGCCATTTAATTATTAGTTTAGGGTTAATGATATCTTCAAATGCAAATGAGCACTGCTAATGATCCTAATTAAGAATATAATAATAATAATTAGAATCAGCTAAATGATGTGTGCAATAAGATCTACAATCTTTTTAATATTTATAAAAATTCACACCATCACATTCACACTTTTGCCCTTTTAATACTCTAAAAATTTACAATGCAAACTCTTAATTCAACACATTATATATCAGAGAATATAAATTTTCATAGATTCCAAAATTATTGAAATTAGGTAACAGCAGCAACACTGCATATGCTCCAGAATTTCTGTATTAAGATGCCAACAAACAGAAGAATACACAGATTTTAGCAGAATCAGATCTCAAATCATGACCAGTTCTTTAATGGAAGTTTTGGAATATATAACCTTCATTTGAAACAGTTTTTTTTTTTATTACTTTTTAAAATAATTTTTTAATACAAATAAATTATTGAAAAAAAATTTATACTAAAAAACTCCTTTAAAAGATAATAAAAAATTATCCCAAACTAAACCTTAACACAAAAATATAAAATTTTATACAAATTCACCAAATTGATTTTAGAGAACAAGAACAACAACAACAACAAGCCTTTATCCCACTATGTGGGGTCGGCCACATGAATCCTTTTTCTCCAGTGTGTCCTATTAAAAGTCAAATTCTCGTTTAAATCTAATAAAGAAAGGTCATTCCTAATATTTTTTAACCAAGTCTTTTTAGGTCTACCCCTACCTTTCTTAACATAAGTCAAATCTAATACCTCTACTCTCCTAACTAGGTCATCGGAAGGCTGTCGTCGGCTACATGATTTTGGAGAATTAAAAAAAAATTATTCGGTCTCTCAACTCTTCAAATTGGGACTAAATAGTAATTATGTGGGATTATTTATATCCATATTTAAAAAATCAAAGCATACCCACCACTATTTGTCTGGGTGGTGAAGAGCCGGCTGGGCAAAGCCTAGGTCTCTGGTTTGAATCCCTTGGCAAGCAGTGAAAGCCTTAAATGTTGGCCGTGTAAATTGGTGTGGGTTGCATGCTAGGTCGACCGGGGTTTACACTGGCCTATGTACAGTGCTTCCTCGTCACAAAAATCAAAGCACTTAAATGGACTTCTAAATAATCAGACACTATTTTGTTCATTCATAAATAGTCAGGGAATCATTTTAATTCTTATCACGGAAATTTTAAATAGCGATAATAAAACAATCCACAACTAAGGCTTAGTTTGGGATAGCTTTAGACCACAGTTTTTTTTCTACTTTCAATAGATTTTTTAACTAAAAAGCAGCTTTACAGAGCAATAAGAAAGTTATCACAAACGAAGCCTAAATCTTTGCAAACAAATTAAGCTCCATAACTTGATAAATATTATTGAATAAGTATAGCACTCTTAAAACTCCAAATGAACACAACTAACATATAAAAGAGCATATTTAAACTGCTCATATTCATTAATGAACTCATGCAAGTCTACAATGAGGTTATACAATAACTGCATAGAATAGAACAAGCAAAAAAGGGAGGCATTTTAGTAGCAAAAAACCTCTTTAGATCATAATAATTATAATATAAATCTACTAAAGTTTCTATCCATAGGAAATAGAATTCAAAATGGAAGGCAACGCCCAGCAAATACCTACAAACAATCTGACCATGAGCACAATCCCAGCGAAACGAATTAATGTACAGGAAGATCGATCGTCCATGGCTGCTTCAGAATTCACATTAGACAGCTCTTTGTCAACAAACGATCAAACGGTTCACTGTCACGGTTCAACGGTCAGTGATGTAGTTCTAAGCTGAGACATCGCTGTTCCTTCAAAGGAATAGATCTTCATGGAAGGAGGAAGAACTGGGAGAATCAAAAGGACCAGTTGCAGGTTTCTCCATTTCCAGCTCTTCTTCGAATAGCATCTCTTGTTCACGGCAGTTGAAGCTGCAGAATGCCTTCTCACCTCTGAAATCCACATTGCAAAAGTTTTACTAATAAAATATCATTGCCTTCCTTCCAGATGTATTGAACATATGATATCCAACATGTAAATTGCAAAAATTTTGATTAAACTATCTAGTAACCATGATAGCATAACTTCATATATCAGGCGCAATCTTATACTAGCGTAACAAATAAGACACTTAGGGTTCACTTGGGACGGCTTTCTTACTGCTTCTTAAAACAGCTTTCTAATACAACAAATTAAATTTTGCACTAGAAAGCTACTTTAAGAAGCAGTAAGAAAGCTGTCTCAAATGAAGCCTTAGCCTTTGTTTGTGACAACTTTCTGACTGTACTGTAAAACAGCTATAGAGAAAGTAATATTTTAAAGCTATTGTATAAAGCAACTTTCTATTATAAAAATTTTCTGAAAGCAACAAAAAAATAATAACCAAACAAAAATTGTGATTGCACAAAATAGTAAGAAAGCTACCCCAAACAAATCCATAGCCTTAAATAGCTCCAATTACTCTTCTAAGATACAATAGATGAGTAAGGTTTTGCTTGGGCCGGTTTTTTTACTGCTTTTAAAAGTAGCTTTCTGTAAATAAAATTAAAATTTTTGCACTGGAAAGCTGCTTTAAGAAGCAGTAAGAAAATCAGTCCGAAAGAATGCTTGAGTTGATGAGTTTGATTAAAAAATTTGCTAGAAATAAGGTATGACAGCCATGAGTAGTTTCAAAATTAATTCATTATAGGTCAAGAATTAAATCATCAAATTACCATGCTTTCTACAACTCAAATCTATCTATCAAATTGTTTAAATGTTATCTAAAACAAAATAAATTGATTTAAATTGATAAATTTAACACATTTGATATGCTAACATCTACATGTCGACAGATTTGATCAACATTTAGATATCATCAAAAAAGAATTAAATATAATTTAGATTTTTTTAAACATGTTATCTAAACAAACAACTAAAATACACTAAGATATGCTAGAACAAGAGATATCTAACCTGTACATATAGATATCTTTGCCTACTTCCAACTTCTTCTTGCAAAAGCAGCAGAAACTCAAGAAATCATTAGAAGTGAAAGAAGGCGAACTCTCCAAGCTCTTAACAATCCAATGAGAGCCTCCTTCTTCCTCTCCTTGCTTATTCTTAGAATCCAGAGACTCGTTCATGTAATCCTCTAAGATACAATCTCCAAAAATATGAGTAGTCTTTGGATTCGGCCCATGGCAGATAATGCAAGTATAATCCTCTGAAAGCTCAATCTCACTTGCAGAAAGTGAACCCATGAATCCATTAATTGAACCACTGGACACGGGAAGAGAACCAGAAAATAAATTTGGAAGAGAGCAGAGATTTGAGCTCTTTGAATCAGAAATAAAAACATCCGAACTTGGCTTGGGGTTATGATAAATTTGCTGAGCTTTATCAGTTATGCAAGATTCAATATTTTCATAAGAACCAAAAGGGGAAAACTGAGACCTCGCCATATTTGGGCTCAAATTTGTTGGTTTGGAGCTTGGTATGTTGACAATTCTCATCTGTGATCCTAAAAGAATGTTCTTTCTCTCAGGACTAAGAAGTCCCTTCTCATCACTGAGAGAATCCACCAAGCCAAGGCCAACTCTACTACAATCCCAGCTTCTTCCCGGCGATCTCGGAGATCGAACAAAAGAAGAACTGAAGTTGGAAAAGAGCCTGTGATCCAATGGAGAAGTGGGGCTCTTCGCAGAATCAGAATCCTGTAATCCCTTCCCTGTAAAGCCGACAAAGAGACCAGGAACGTTGAACAAGGTAGAGCTTTTTATCTTGTCCATAGAATTAGAAGAGAAGCAGGAATCTGAGGCCAAATTGCTTCTCCTTCTCAGCATTATATCTTCTTCCTGCGTAAATACCTGAGAAGATGGAAGCTTTAAGTAAATGCAACATAAGAAAACATTAAAGATTTCAGATTTCAGGAAAAGCAGAACAGGTTGCTTTAGATTGATCAATCCATAAAAAGAGAGAAAAAAAAAAGAGACCTGAAGCCACTTGGATAACATGCATGCTAGTTGGGGAGAAGGAATAGACCTACAACTACCTATTTACCTAAAACTTGACATCAGTGCATTAAATCAAACTCGTAAATCGCCAAAAACTAGAAAGATATGATTTTTTTTCCCGAAAATTTTAGCGCCCAAGCAAAAAATTTCACCCAAGCAAGATCAATATCAGAACCTGAAATCAACTTGCATCCAAGCAAGATCAAGTTTTTGGGGCATCGAAAGAAACGAAGGATCAAATCAATCAGAAAGGAACTGAATTAGTTCTTCACACAGAAACTCAGGAACAAAACATACCAAAAGAGGGAAAAATCTCGAGTCTCAAGAAATAAGAGAATGCTTGATAGAAATAAAGGACGCGAATTTGCATTAGATAGAGATGTAGAGAGCAGCACAGAAGAAATCTTACAAGAGAAATGGGAAAGCTAACCTTCTTCTTCCCCTTCCCCTTTTCCTCTCTCAAGTTCTCTATCAAGTTCCACACTATTCTTTCTCTCTCTTAGAGGCCACTTACATTGAGCTGGCTTAAGAGAGCTCAAGAGAGTAAAAATAGGTTGACATAGGTATCAAGCTTACGCAGTACTCCTCAGTCCTCTCTCTCTCGCATTAGTTTCTCTTTCTATATTTTTATCTTTTTTACTGCAAGCATCAAAATCAGAGCAGCAGTGTGGCTTCTGAAATACTCCTCCATTTATTCAGTAAGAAATAAATATACAACATAGACAATAAATAAAAGGTATCCTATGCATTCTAAGGTGATTTCGAGCCTGCACCAAAGCTCCATTGAATCCATTTACTTCTTATTCTGATAAATAATTAGAAGGAAAAATTACAGAATAAAGAGATCTGCAAAATATGATCTGAAATGATGACTGTAGCTTGCAAATGGTTATTATTGCTTATTTAACTTTATTTTCCACCATTGAATTAATTGCTTTCCATTAATAAATTTTATTTTGGGCAAATCATTATGATTTGAAGAGTATGGCATTGTATTTAACGCATACATTTATTTGAATGCATAATTACTACTATTTAATAATTCTTTCACGAAAGTAATCTGTAAAATTAATAATTAAATTACTATGTTAAATAAATTTTTTTTAATAATATATTCATAAATATTTTATTTCTCTGAAAAATAAACTTTTTTATAGATATTATATTAAACAATGTTTAAAAAATAATAATAAAACTAAGTCAATTTAAAAAGGCAGAGTGTTGTTTGATTTTTATTATGATATTTCATGTTTTTAGTCGTCCAATAACCTTAAGATTTGTGCTAGCAAATCCATTATCTTTAATACAAGATATCATAGAGGAACCAATATTGATCCTTGGCATAAATTCAGCAGCAATACTAATCTCAAAGCTTTACTGCCTAATAAGATCTTGATAGATTCCAACATCATGAACGGAATAATTTCGATTAAAAAAATAATTTGATATATGCTATGATTTGACCCCAAAAAAAAATTATGATATAAAATTTAAAAAATAATCAAAGGAGTGTAATTGCCGAGAAAGGAAGGGAATCTGAGCCGTCGACCTGAAGATAAAGAGACGAGATGCGTTCAACAGATTGGACGGTCGAGATCTCGGACCGGTGGTCCAGCGTGGGTTGGCATCTTTATAAGTGTGTGGAGCAGTGAAAGGAGTCTCTGCTCTCGTTTAAGAGGACACTGATAGAAAAAAAAAAGGACAAAGCTGACACGTGGGACCCACAAAGCTAATGAGTCTTTCTTTTCCTCTATTTTTCAAAGTTTTATTAAAGCATATTTAAATCAGTTGAGCCAGCCGGATGATCCGGTTCGGTCTAACTGAACCCAAAAAACCAAATACAAAAAAAATCAATAGTGGGGTCTCAGTCATGGCAAATTATTACGTCCAGTGTCCAGATTCGTCCGGAAATTAATCCAGAAATGTCACATCATCCAAATACACCGGGCTCTGGTGTATTTTGGTAATGTGACGTGTCTGGATTGGATGTCCGGACGTTCGGTGACCAGACGTAATAATTCGCCCTCAGTCATAGTTTTCAATTTAAAGTCAAATTGATCTGTATCAAAAATTAATAAATAATTTCTATGAATAGTTAATGAAATTTAATGGTTATATTTGATTTTGATGGGTTTAGATCCTCATCAATGAATTTTAAAATTGGCCGGCACATCTTTCTGAAAAAATAAATTTTCAATAAAATTATTCAAGGATTTATTTATGGGTGTAAATGACTTGCATCAAATTCGAATTCGACTCCTTAATCTTAACATAGGCTAGATCTCAAGTAGAGCTTACTTTATGGAGCTCAAATTCAGCTAGTTGGAGCGCAAGCTCGATTTGTGAGCTTAAAGTTGCAAGAAAGCTTCACAAGGAAGCCAATATGAGAGCTTAATGGAGAATTAATCAATGATGTTAAAACAGAAGAAGAGCAAGTCATGACGAGACCCACCGAGCTTGAAGAAAGAAGAAGAAGAGTTCATGATGGGGAGAGCTCATCAAAGTTGTTCTCTACAACGTTTGAAGGAGAAGAAAGAGAATTCAAGATGAAAGATGTGACGCGTGAAGAAGAAGAAGAGAAGGCCACCACGAGATGCAACAAGAGTCAAAAGATGATTGTGTGACGGCATCGTTAGCATAAGAAGTGAGATAAATGAAATTATTGAATACCGTAAAATCTTAAATCACTACAATGAGAGTTACCATACATTAGAATTTACATAAAATATGAAACATGAGAGAAATGTTATTCAGTTTGAGCTTCTTGTAAGTAAACGAGTCAAATCCGATTGATCTTGAGCTCAAACTTGTATATTATACGAGTTGTAATTTGAGTTTGAGCTTGAGCTTACAACACGATAAGATTGACTTGCTAGCTCATTAGCACGCCAAGTTCAAACGTGCTTGTAATTCATCTCAACTCACTTCATTTTTAATTTACATAAATCTAAAGTTTTTATATTTTGTTATATATAATATTTAATTTTTATATTTATTTATATAATACTCTAATATTTAAATGAAAATCATAACTTAATATATGACTCATAATTAATTTATAATGAACCAAATTACTCCAACTTTTACAAATAAATGTCAAAACTCTCACAAAAACATTTTAGTGGCCTTTTGATCATAGGAGTTCTTTAACTGTCCTTTTCTTAACACCTTTGTATTCAACAATCACAAAGAGTAAGTTCATGTCAACTAGCTCACAATTTATAATATGTTTAAAGTTAGTAATGCTATGCATTTGAATATCTTGATCAATTGAACTTAACTTTATTATAACCATTGGTTTTCAGTTTGTTATGTCTATCTTATAATATAATATTTTAGACCAATTATAATTGCTTAAAACAATTGAAACAAATTATATTGTTGTATTGTATTATTTCAGACAACGGTCTTTTCGATCACTTTCATTTAACTATGATTTTTCCGACCTCCGTTGCCTGAGTATGATCTTTATGACCTTCATCGTCTACTGATTATGGTCCTTCCAACCACCTTCGTCTGACTATGGTCTTTACAACATCCGTTTCCCGACTACAGTTTTTTTTTACCACCTTTGCACGACTAATGTCTTTTCGCCCTCCTACTATGATCTCTTCGACCTCCATCACGCCACTACGATCCTTCTGAACGCCTTCAGCCGACTACGATATTTCCGACCTCCATCGCATGCCAACTACACTCTCTTCAACTACCATCTCCAAATTATGGTCTCCTTGATTGTTGTCACCCAATTATAATTTTTCCAACCTCCGTCGACTACCAACTTTTATCTTTTCGACCTCCATTGCTCGAATACGGTCCTTCCGACCACCGTCGCACAACTACTATCCTTCCGACCTACATCACTCGTCAACTATGGTCTTTCCGATCAAACGAACATATCAACACTAATTCTTCCATCTCTCACCATGTAATGCACACTATATGATGTATTTGCCGCCTCAAACCAAGGCTTTCCCCCTCAAGGAAGGGCCTTTTGTAATCAACCGCAAACACTAGTGGATTCATTTAAACTGGCCAGTCCTCTGGCTTTCTCTCATTTTTAGGGGCTTCCAAGTAAAAACTTTGATGTCCCTTATGAATGCTAAACCCCTATTTTTTATCTGTATACATACTAAATTTTTGTATAAAACTAAGACAAAAAAATTATGTTTCTCTACTACCATAAATGTCCAAGTCCGCAAAGATTTCAAGTAAAACACATGTTTTCTTATATGTATATAATTCATTTTTATGCTCGAGAAAAAAGTATTTGTTAGCAAGATTGACAGATAAAGCGATATAAATATAGACACCCTCATTTGATAAAAATATCTCACTTTATTATGCGTTAATTATAATTAATTTTTTACTAAAAATTCGACATATTGGCCCATTTTGAATAAGTACGAAAATTATTATCCAATTAATTATTAGTTAAGGTTAGATATATAAACGGAACGATGAGATAAATTTGCACCAAAGCCCAATGGAATTATAAACTTACATTTCCTTTTGTGTTTCTTATTAAATTCTTTTAATAATGTAATTAACATAATTGCATATATCTCTCGCCTATCGCCTGATGAGCTATAAATCGTCATTTAACAAATAGTTTTTAGTCAAAGTTAAAAGTAATTAGCAAAATTCTTTACTGATTAAAAAATCTTAATTATTAATTAAAGACTTAATTGCCTTTAATAATTATTATTTATTACATGATTTTTAAATGTTGATGTGAAATATGTGAATTTATATTTGACTTTAATGCTTATTCACATCAAGAAGTTTCGTATAGTGTTCCTCCGCCGATAAGATCGAAGTTTATTTGACAAATCACACTTTAATGATTGATTAAGACCACTAATCATAATTATAAATTGATAACCACTGAGCTTTAACGTGTGCTTGTATGCTTGTACTGCCTTCCTAGAGCCCACTGATTTACTTGATAACAACTTATTTATTTATTTATTTATTTACTTTTTCTCTGACAATTCTGCTAATTCTTTTTTTTTTAATCTATTTTGTAGTGGCATAAAAACAATTATAAAATAAATACTTTTTTGTTTGGGATTTAAAATTGGTGCACTCATTAAATGTTTACATTTATTTACTTAGATAGTTGAATAAATCTCAGCATTATTTGTTAATTTGGATTTATTTTTTTTATTTGTTAATTTGGATGATAGTCATAAGAAAAACAATTTGATCATGAATCTCAATATATATTAAAAAAATAAAAATATGCAAAATTAAATTTAGTGTCATCCAAATTCCAATTCAATAAACTTATAATTGAATCAATTGTATCAATGAGATTGAACTATTGACACTAAAAATAAGATGATTTGAATCCAAATGAGCTCAAATAAAAAAAATAGATCCCTTTGAATGCTATTACACTGTTATATCAGCAAGGGCCAAAAATGCCGGGTGCTCTGCTAGGGTTTGCGTCTCGTTCGGAGCTCTGTTGTCTTATGCCTGTTTTGTGGCTGCTGGTGGCTTTTCGCTTCTCAGGGAAGTTCTGATTTCTCCTTTCATGGTTTCTTCTTCATTTTATTTTTT